ATTGACATTATGCAAATGACGTACATTTTACTGTACGATCCTCAAATTTTAGTAAGAGATTCTTTAATTGTGTGTTTAAATATGTTTCTAATTGTCTCCAATCGTGTTGTCGTTCACTACACTACTACTGTGATGTGTGCTATTGATATCGACAGATATATAAGTAGTATTTATCATCAATCGAAAGTGAAATGCCTGACAGCAGAAAGTTAAAAAGATCAAAGAAAAGAGAACGTCAACAAACAATAATTAGTGTGGGAACGAAAGAACAGTGAAGTCAGAGACAATTGATTGACATTTCGCAAATGAATTATTTACTGTATGGTTCTCAAATTTTACAAAGAGCTTCTGTAATTTAATGCTCAAATGTATTTGATTGTTCCCACTGTTATTCTCGTTCACTACATTAGCAAGTGATATAAATCGAGAATTGATCTTATTATTTTGAGTGAAGTAGAAAATGCGTAATGATCGAGGGAAATTTACAATATCCATTTGTTGATATTCAATAAAGAACTGCGATGTGTCCTTTTTATAATACGTATGTTTTGTAATGGAAGTGTTAACACGGACGAATACAAATTCCGCTTATGAGTATTATATACGACATAAATACCGTTCTGTATTCTATGACTAGCTGAAATTTATCTATTCAATATAAATTGTTGAAAATATTGAATGTTGGAATGTAGACGTAAATATTAAGGACTGTTTTCGTCTTATCGCTCCAACTGGAGCCTCCCCTGGGGTTACTGCCGGACCTAAACCCGAATAAAGGAGGAGGGTTGAGTATAAGGTTAGCGACCCCATCTCGTCTAAAACTAACTCGCTAAAAAAACGTTAACCAGAAAAACAATAATTCAATTTTTGTTTTGTCAGAGAGTATTAAGCTGTGTGAAATTCACACACACCAAACTTTAAACGATTCAGTTTCTTTGAATTGTCATGTACTGGTACTAATAGATTGTTTTCTAATATACTGAATAATTTTGAGAATACCATATTGTTCTAAACATACTTTATTGAATGACGTCATTGATAATAATGATAATACAGCCAGTACATTTATTTAGACTATTATAGCCATATTTTTACGTAATTTACTAAACACTATATGGAACTCCTCAGTAGTGCGTATTCACGATCCCGCACCCAGCGGAACTGGAACCCAGGACCTACTGGTTTCGCGCGGGAGCACTTAACCATTCGACCACTGAGCCGGCATCCAATGGTGTTATTGTCTAACTTCAACCAATCCACGAAGTTGCGCCGCTGTACACCATTGTCTTCAGTGAGTTACTGTCTCACAACAGACCTGTTTGGACTCCACTGGTCACGGCTTCTCACTAGAACTTCAGGAATACCTCTTGAAGTCAGTCACTAGTGAGCAGATGATTATTATCAGAAGGGATTTGTGAAGATTTTAGAAATTTCACAGAATGAAATCATGAGTCATTTGAAGCTAGACTATAAGGTGGCGCAACTTCGTGGATTGGTTGAAGTTAGACAATAACACCATTGGATGCCAGCTCGCGCGCGAAACCAGTAGGTCCTGGGCTCGAGTCTCGCTGGGTGCGGGATCGTGGATGCGCACTGTTGAGGAGTTCCATACCAGGACGAAACAGCCATCCAGTGCTTCCAGGTTTTCCATGGTGGTCTAGCTTCAATTGACTCATGATTTAATTCTGTGAAATTTCTAAAATCTCCACAAATCCCCTGTGATAATAATCATCTGCTCACTAGTAACTGACTTCAAGAGGTATTCCTGGAGTTCTAGTGAGAAGCCGTGACCAGTGGAGTTCAAGCAGGTCTGCTGTGAGACAGTAACTCACTGAAGACAATGGTGTACGGTGGTGCAACTTCGTGAATTGGTTGAAGTTAGACATTAACGCCAGTGGATGTCAGCTCAGTGGTCTAGTGGTTAAGTGCTCGCGCGCGAAACCAGTGGGTCTTGGCTTCCAGTTCCGCTGGGTGCGGGATCGTGAATTATAGAAAATTATAGAAAAGCAACTGATTGAAGTTCTTAAGAGAATGAAAAATGATCAGTTAATCAACGAACAGGTCTTTGAGCGCATAAAACCAACAGCATCAACAATACTGCGATTATACGGTCTGCCAAAAATACACAAACCTGACCTACCTCTTAGACCAATTCTCGATATGTCAGGATCCCCTTACCATTCTATAGCAAAGTGACTGGCAAATCTCCAAGAGCTCGTTAGAAAGAGCATTTGTAAACATTCAGTACGTGATACTTCTGAGTTTATCAAGCACATAAAAGAAGTGAATGTAAGTGACAAAATTATTCTATCTCGGGATGTCGAATCATTACTCACTAATGTTACACTTACAGAGACCATTAATTTTATCCGCAAGTACATAAATAATAATGAGATAAACATCGGAATACCGGATGTTTATTAGAAGAAACTATTACTACGTTGCACTTGCAATGTACAGTTCACATTCAACAACGTAATGTATAGACAGAAGGATGGTATAGCAATGGGATCCCCACTTGGTTCATTACTGGCAGATTGCTTCATGGCCAGTTTAGAAAACAACCAACGCAAAACAATTATAGAAAACCTCCATTTGCATAAAAGATACGTAGATGATATCTTTATCATTTGTGACAACAAATATGACTTAAGTCATCTCCCGAAGACATTTAATAATTGTCACCCATCAATAAAATTCACACTTGAAGTTGAAAACAAACACAATATTCACTTTCTTGATGTGGAAATGACAAGAAAGCAAGACGGTACATTAAAAATATCTCTCTCCAGGAAACCCATGTGGAATGGCCAACATCAGGTTTCCACAGTTGGGTTCCCATCAGCCGAAAAAGAAACTTAATAATAACACTACGCTACAAGAATACGTAGAATCTATAGTCTCGAAGTCATAGATGAAGAATTGGGCTTCTTAAAGGAGATACTTATGAAAATCGGGTATCCTTCTATATTAATTGATAAGAACATGAGAACAAAAACACAAATAATTACAGTAGAAAAGAAAACTTTATACATCAACATCGGCTTCAAGGGTGATAGAACCACGTATATCTTAAAGAGGAGAATTTCGGATTCCTTAAAAAGAACATTTCTCGCAGCAACATTGCGAATAGTATTATCCAGTCGATCATTGTTCACCAATAATCTGAAAGATAAATTATCGCATCTGAACAACTTAATGTGCATTTACCAGTTTACCTGCTCTTGTGAAGCTAGGTATATAGGTCGTCCGATGCGTAGTTTATCCAAAAGAATTCAAGAACATTGTCCGGTGTGGCTAAAAAGAGGAGGCAACAGCTCAACAAGAAGTTCAATAATCGAAGACCTCGTGAACACAGGTCACTCAATCAAGGCAGACTCTGGGTTCCAAGTCATCTAAAATTAGACCGCATCTTCTTTGCATTGCCGAAGCATTAGCCATACATCTGGAAAAACCAGAATTATGTGTACAAAAGTAACTGGTACAAAATATTCCTCTACCATGGTCTTAATGTCTTATGATATTTTTTCTCTTTTTCATATTCTTCTTCCTTGACAGCCATTTGCTTCACCTTCCATCTTCCTCTACCCACAACTGGTTTATCTTTGTTTCCATGATCATTCTGATTACATTTAATCTCAATTTCAATATTTTATCTTGTCATGCTGAGCTATCCTTTCCCAATGATACTTTCCCTATCTATCCTTTGATGAATACTTAAGCCATTAACAATCAAACGATTATTAAACTTCCGTTGTTCTAAAAAAAGGTTTTAATACCTTTGTTTATTTAACCTTATTGTCACCATGTCTAACCGAAGTTTATTATCATCCTGTAAAAATAAGTATATATATTTTCAATTGTACAGCTTTGAAAATGAATTCGCCGAAAAGAGAACTCTTCGCTAAACTAATCTTTCTTATTTAATGAAATTAATCAGTCACTTATTGGAATATGTTCATTTTGTTTTGATTATTTTGATATTATCTTAATTCACAAGTAAACGGTACTGGGTTCGAGTCCTAGAGTGTAGTATCAGCTTTAAGATACAGGTACGTCCATCTGACGAGTTCCAAATAGCACGAAACGCACGCTTTGGATTCTACTGCTAACCACTATCCATCTTTGCTTATAATGCTTGTGAATTAAGGCTATATCGAGTCAATACGTATAGTATGCACATATACCAATAAGTGACTGATCAACTGCAGTCTCGAACATCAATTACGAAGATTTAAATAAACGATACCAAGTGAATTTGATATAGCGTGCTTCTATAACCAGAAATACTATAGTGAAGTCTAAAGAGAAGATTTTATGCTATAGACTAATGCATGTGATTTGAAAAAAGAAATTGTTTCACCTTCAGTAACTTACTTAGACTAGATAGTATAAATGCGAAAAATGAAGTAGAGTATCTATCAATTACTACTATCTTGACGACAGATGACATCAGAAATTCATTAGATATGAGGATAGTTGCTTCTTCCCGATTCCCTATACTGAAGAATGATACGTTTATTAATGAGTTTCTAGGTACCAATTCGAAGGTTGGATTTGATAGTTTCAAATAAATTAAACATTGGATGAAAAGTTAACAAACAAATATGTTTTTAGAGAATTGCATTTATGTATTTACTCTAACGATGTGACTTACATTAAGTCATGAAACGTCAGTTTTTGAATGACACTTCTTCTAAGCAAAACTAAAATGAATTTGGGTTAATATGGGTAATGACCTGGAAACCTGATCACACGGCCCAGAAAATACCTATTTATTAGACTAGTCACATACAATGGTTTGCGAATTACTCGTGATCCATCGATGCTTTACTAATAACGTCCTACATTAGATTGTACAAATCTATCGAGTAAAGTGGTGTATGGTACATTTTGGTTCAAACTTTTCTAATCCATTCCTTCCGTTATGAAAATGCAGTACTGATAAAGATGATAACTTTCTGAAGGAAAACCCTATATAGTCAGTGTACCTTAAGTTACTACTCTCGTGATGATGATGATGATGATGATGATGATGATGATGATGATGATGATGATGATGATGATGATGATGATGATGATGATGATGATGATGATGATGATGATGATGATGATGATGATGATGATGATGATGATGATGATGATGATGATGATGATGATGATGATGATGATGATGATGATGATGATGATGATGATGATGATGATGATGATGATGATGATGATGATGATGATGATGATGATGATGATGATGATGATGATGATGATGATGATGATGATGATGATGATGATGATGATGATGATGATGATGATGATGATGATGATGATGATGATGATGATGATGATGATGATGATGATGATGATGATGATGATGATGATGATGATGATGATGATGATGATGATGATGATGATGATGATGATGATGATGATGATGATGATGATGATGATGATGATGATGATGATGATGATGATGATGATGATGATGATGATGATGATGATGATGATGATGATGATGATGATGATGATGATGATGATGATGATGATGATGATGATGATGATGATGATGATGATGATGATGATGATGATGATGATGATGATGATGATGATGATGATGATGATGATGATGATGATGATGATGATGATGATGATGATGATGATGATGATGATGATGATGATGATGATGATGATGATGATGATGATGATGATGATGATGATGATGATGATGATGATGATGATGATGATGATGATGATGATGATGATGATGATGATGATGATGATGATGATGATGATGATGATGATGATGATGATGATGATGATGATGATGATGATGATGATGATGATGATGATGATGATGATGATGATGATGATGATGATGATGATGATGATGATGATGATGATGATGATGATGATGATGATGATGATGATGATGATGATGATGATGATGATGATGATGATGATGATGATGATGATGATGATGATGATGATGATGATGATGATGATGATGATGATGATGATGATGATGATGATGATGATGATGATGATGATGATGATGATGATGATGATGATGATGATGATGATGATGATGATGATGATGATGATGATGATGATGATGATGATGATGATGATGATGATGATGATGATGATGATGATGATGATGATGATGATGATGATGATGATGATGATGATGATGATGATGATGATGATGATGATGATGATGATGATGATGATGATGATGATGATGATGATGATGATGATGATGATGATGATGATGATGATGATGATGATGATGATGATGATGATGATGATGATGATGATGATGATGATGATGATGATGATGATGATGATGATGATGATGATGATGATGATGATGATGATGATGATGATGATGATGATGATGATGATGATGATGATGATGATGATGATGATGATGATGATGATGATGATGATGATGATGATGATGATGATGATGATGATGATGATGATGATGATGATGATGATGATGATGATGATGATGATGATGATGATGATGATGATGATGATGATGATGATGATGATGATGATGATGATGATGATGATGATGATGATGATGATGATGATGATGATGATGATGATGATGATGATGATGATGATGATGATGATGATGATGATGATGATGATGATGATGATGATGATGATGATGATGATGATGATGATGATGATGATGATGATGATGATGATGATGATGATGATGATGAAATCATATTGTTTCTCTCGTTTTTTTTATAATGGATTTTTCACAGAGACGTCAGTTTTGTACATAATTAGAACTTATATGGAATATAAATGAGTTCCTTTTATCATACCCACTCTCAATGTCAGTTTTTTGAATAATTGTGATAACTAGCTAGCAATCAATATACTTAAATTACAATAATCACATCTCAAGAGAATAAAACTTGTACCTGAAGTTTGTGTTGATGATGTCTTTCAGATTAACGATGAAAGCTGCATGACCAAACCATCCGGCTGAGAGAACAAAACTCTATCAGAATGAAACTATTGTAATACATGTCTAATCCAGGTCCATTCATATTCTCAGTTGTTCTTTTTTTCATAGAATAATTATAAATCCCAATGTTTATGCATATAGAAACAAACTTTGTAAATAGTTTGATATTAATCCAGGTAAGGCAGTAATCTATTCTTAAATACCAACTTTTTTTTGTTTTGTTTTATTACTATGTATCGATAATACTGACTATAGAAAATTTAATCTCTACAAATATCAAAGACATTTTCTTTTTGTATTTTATATAGATACTTTTAAATCTACCTGAAATGTCAACTGTCTTGAAATGTGTTAAAAAAAAACAAAAAAAACACATGCGTTATCCACATAGTAACTAACCGTGAAAAAGGTGAATGAATAATAATTTATTAAATCTAGACGATTGATTATTTTATGTTGATTTATTTGTTGAATGTTTCAATTCTTATTCATCTTGTTGTTGTTGTTAAATCAGAGTTCATTTCTAAAGGATTCACTCATTATACTTCAAAGTACTTACTAATCGAATCACATTCGATGGAGAAGACTTGGACGACGTAAAACCCTTACATATCTGTGTAGCATCAATGATGAACACGAGGGATCTGATACAGATGTGAACTCGTGGATCAGCAAAGTAAGAGTAGCATATCTACAATTGAAGAACATGTGGAATTCAAAACAACTGTCTATCAACTGACAACATCAAAGTCACAATTTCCAGTACAAATGTCAAGACAGTTCTACTATATGTGGCAGAAACTTGGAGAATCACGAAAGCCGTCATCCACAAAACACAAGTGTTTATCAACAGTTGTCTACACAAAATACTTCGCATCAGTTGGTCAGACACTATCTGCATCAATCAATACGGTGGGAGAGAACAAACGAGATTAGAGTGTAGGAAGAAATGAGGAAGAATTGCTGGATGTGGATAGGACACACATTGAGGAAAGCACTGAACTGAGTCAAAATGCAAGTCATCACTTGGAATCCTCAGGATGGAAGGAGACGAGGAAGACTGAATTATACATTACACCGAGAAATAGAGATAAACAGACATAAGAAGAATGAACAACAATTGGTTGGGACTAGAAAGTGAGACCGAGGATGTAGTGGATTGGAGAATGCAGGTTGTTGGCCTATACTACATTGTGAGTAACAGGCGTAAGTAAGTACTTAAAAGTAGTGTTAGTTACTATGTTAAGCTCATATTGACTTATTCTACCTTCTGGACAAGGCCAATTTATTCACCCTACTTGAGTCACATTTTGACCTTGTTAATTATTCGCTTATCAATCTTGAGTGTTTTTATGTAAGCATTTGTGTGTACATTTCTTATCCTATTCATCATATATCTGTAACTTATTTTTGTCTGAATATAAATACTGATTAACGCCTGATTAAATCGAGTTGGCTTACCTGCCATCTCCACCGCGCGTTATTTTGCTTCGCTCTCTTCTCTTCGTTTACTTCGTTTCGTCCCTCTGACTGTCTTTCCAGATCAATGAGTGTACAAAATATACATATTCGAAACTTCCTTCTCGTACTTGACTTATTTAATTCTGTTAATCACTAAAGCGGATTAAGCCGACAATTATATACGAGGATAGCAGACATGTGTATCTCAATGGTAATCAATCAAATGATCTATTTGGAGTCAGATCTCGGGTCACTAAAAGGTTATTTTGAAAAAATAGTTGTTGTAGGAGAGTGTAGTCAAAGTTAATGAGAAGTTCCTGTCAAACCACGTAATGTTCTGAGGTGCATTTAAAAAGCAATCTCTGTGTGTGCTTCATAAACTTTGCCCCATAAATTCTGGTAAGCCTAAGGATGAATATGGAGTACACCCGCCTTCAAAACTATTGAACTCTGTGGGTCACGGCCAATCATGAAAAATTCATAAATCCAACCTTTTTAGTTCTCTAAGCAAGAAATGATCGGTAATCAACTACTTTACCAACAGTAATCCACAAGTTGGATCAACAAGTATAGTTAAAACTGAATTTGCAATTGGTACGCTAAAATAGAAGATTGATAAAAGGAGATAGTTTACTTAACCTTCCAAATAATAATTACATAGAATAGAGATTCTCGATCGACAACTGATGTAGGCTTTAATCGGTTGCACACGATCAAAATTAATCTACAGTCGAGGTCAAGTAAAAGTGTCCATGACTTTACAATCATAACGAATTCTATTATTCAGTATCCTCCACAGACATCCTCACGAACAAAGAAATGCATAGACGCCAAGTACGAAACGTGATGAGATCAGAACCAGCCAAAATGAATGCTTAGGTGCCTCAGAACATCAACCTGGTACAATTCAAAGAACCATTGATGATAGTACTACCACATCACTAAAAAGTGGTGTGCTGAAATACGTTATATCGATTGAATTAATCGTTTTCCTTATATAGGAAAGTATGGGAAAAATGTGGTCTTTTGGTTTCTCTTATAAAATCTTACATAGCTCACTTTCATTAGTTATCTTTAACAGTTTGTCTACTTTACAAAGTCCTCTGAGGAATCTGTTAACGTATGACTCTTTTAACTGTGAATCAAATGAACGTCGTACAAAAAAGTATTGAATGTACGTGAAACAAAGAATCAACACTTATCGATCTTATAACACTTTAGACAAAAAATTGGATACAAAGATGGATAGTTGCTAACAGTGGAGTCCAGGAGGCGCGCCACTTCATCTTATCTGGGACTCGTCAGCTAAATGTACCTGCGTCTCACAGTCGATGTTCACTCTGAGACTCGAACTCAGTACCGTTCGCTTCAAACATCAACGCGTTATCCACTGAGCTACTGAGTCCTGTTAGCCACTTACTTGTGCAATAGGATGAAGTTTGAATTCACTTGGTGTTGTTTGCTTGAATCTTCCCATTAATGTTTAATGCATGTGAATTAAGGCTATATCGAGGCAATACAGACAGTATGCACATATACAAATAAGAGACTGATCAATTGCAGTGCTAAACATCCATGAGAAGATTCAAACAAACAATGCCTAGTAAATTTAAAAATTGGATTATTGACTTGATAAGATCACAGATCATCCTAGTTATTGAATACAGTTGAATCCCAATCACCATGCAAGTACATCTCGTAAAAGATGAAACGAACTTATTAACAGACACAATCCATCTATTCTATCACTTACCTTATATACACAGAATATGGTTACTTATGAGTTTTCCAATAGTATTTTCTAAATTTCAAAATGAACATTTTTAAAAATTCTATTACGGCTTTATTCAATGATACAAATGATCAGTCTTCAGTAATAAAGATAGTAGGTTGGTGAACCTGTGTTAATCCTTACAGATCGCCTTCCAGTGAAGGACAAGCCTCTCCTTGAAAATATTCACTGATGCGGCTGATACCACTTGTTCGGGTAGGGCATTCCAGTTATTGTCTACTCGATGAGAAAAACAGGACCCCACTTTAAGTTTATTAGATTCAGGTTTGTGGACCTTCTTGCTATGACCTCGGAGAATATTAGTGCTGGAGGGAGCAAAAAGATAAGACATATTGACACCCAAATCATAATTAAAGATACGAAATGTCAGCATAAGGTCATATCGCATCCTACGATACGACATGGGAAAAAGGTTTAAGCGTTTTAAGCGCTCATTTTAAGGGCGAGAATACATGATGGTGAAAAGTGTATAGTTTTGATTTCAGTTTCATGTTAGCAAATATATAACTTCATAGATTAAAATAACCTCAAAGGTACAGCTGAATACTATCAGATAGATTGATAGTAAATCATAAAATGGAATCTTTTAAAAATGTTTTTACTATTTTATCAATATGGGAGTTGTGGAAATTGTTCAATTTAATTAAAATCAAAAACCGATTTAAGTAGGTCAATCATTTAAAACCTGAAACCATTAGACGGCTGTTTTATTCAGGTAAGGGACTCCATAGAAGTGTACATGTATACCCCCATCTCCGGCATTTAAACTCATTACATTCAGTTTTAATAATTGACCTCTTAACTACTGACCACTAATGAATTTAATAAGCACTAAGTTTCAGTTTGGTTTTCACTCTGAAATATTAATTTAAAGTATAATTATTCGTCAAATTACTTGTATTGTGGTGTATGCTACTAATGTCGACAAATATAAGTAGTATAAATCATCAATCGAAAGTAAAATATCTGGTGGCAGAAGGTTAAGAAGATAGAAGAATAGTGATCGAGAACAGAAAATGATTGATGTAGGAACAAAAGAACAATGAAGTCTGAAATGATTGAGTGATATTTTTCAAATGACGTACGTTCTACTATATTCTGTAATTTTGTATTGAAATCCACTCGAATGTTCTCACCTGTGTTCTCGTTCAGTACAGTATTATCTTACTATCAATAACAAAATGAAGAGGATACATGTGAAAATATCAATGGTCAATGTATACTACCCATTCAATATAAGTAAGCTGATTTATGGCAAAAAAATTGACTATTAAATACAATAGAAATCATTTACAGCATATTTGTACTATATCATGATGACTGTAAATGGAAAAGTACTTTATTATGAAAAAAGGCATATTCATAAATGTCCCCAAATGCCCTGGTACGGTTGAAGGTTGAGAGAGTTAGCACACCCTCTCGAAATGCTCTTACATGACCACACGTATACAGCAACTGTCAGGAAATTCCCACTCATTGCGTTCTCCTGGCATTACTGT